TCCCCCCCCCCCACCCAATAAAACACACACACCACACTTAACACATACACACACACCATACCCCCACACATACACACACACTCTCCTACACAAGTTTTTTTTACTCTCAAATACCTTGTTTGAGATCGAAGTACTAAAAATTCTCAATGTAACATTAAATGCAGATTGCAGATGTCAATTTGAGTTGATTTGTCCCCCCCCCCCCCTTTTTTTTTTTGTTGCTTAAACTGTCGGCTTCTAGAGTACTTAAAAACAATTTTTTAGGGTGTGAAAATGTTAACACTTCTAATATTTAGCTAACTCTAGGCTAGTAAACAAAATACTTCGAGGCTGGATAATGTTCCAAATTAAACTATTTTGGTTGACTCATGTGTTGGTGGAATAGTTGATTTAACTCTAGAAAAAAGACAGGGGGTGTGACTCAGTCAATAAATGAGTTTTAATGAATACATGAGTTATGGCTCGCATCAGTGGTTCTCCCATGAGTCTGACGCGAATGAAGCACATTCATGAAAGGCCGAGACAGCAATCGTGATATAAGCACTGTGAACATTAGATGCCTTGCGTGTGAGTGTTGCAAGGGGCGCCATTTACAAAGGCGAGGTTATCTTCACTTTAGTTTTTAAGATATATATATTTTTTTGTCTGGCTACAATGGCTATTAATAGCTCTGGGTATTTCCCAAACTAAGTTTAAAAACAAAAATGTTGCTACGGTTTTAACATTAAGAAACAGAACGTTTTAATAACAAAAGGCGCTTACTTGCTAATGACCTTTAACCTTATCTCCTCGTGCTCGATGAACCTCTGCAGGTTCTCAGCTAAATTCGCCGACGACCACTTCCGTATGGAGTACGATGACGTCACCATGGACCCTTCAGTGGTGCGGACTTTTATCAGGATCTGGCACCATGCTCCTTCCAGTAGCAGCAGCACCACCAGAACAACCAACACACGCGACGCAACATTCCACACCATCGGCATCTGTCTCGCCATTTTTCTTTTGGACCCTAAACTAAAACAACACCGAACTTGGGGGGGAGGGGGAAACAAAAATGTTAAAAAACCACCCTCAAAAACATCAAGTGTATCTCATTGCCGACCTAAATCTTAATAAATTAGTTCTACAACACGCGGAGGAAAAACAAACAACGGCACTTCCATCCACAGAGCAACGTATTTGTCCCGTGATCGAAGGTCAGAACAATTCAAATGTGTGCTCCACTAATTTCTTTGACCACAAGTTCACTGACACGCCGGCTCACGGATAGGGGGGGAGGGGGGTTGGGTCGAGTCGACAGACACAGCAACGTGTACCTCTACGTGTACGTGAGGGGGACACGTTTCAAAAGACGGCGGCTTTAAGATTAACACGTGTTGGAAATTGATCGGATTCAAATCGAGCGCAGCCACCACACACAGGTCCAGATGTGACATACGCCAGTTAATCCGCCCGACCGTTAAACAATATGGCGCTCGTGCACTGTTTGAAAATGTTTCACGTGTGGTTAGGGGAATATTTGGTTTAAAATGGGCCTGCATCAATTATTGGGATTTGAAAGTAAAAAAAATAATATTAATGAATTGTCTCTCAATTGTCGAGGACAGGTACATTTTAGCGGGATATATGACGTAGCTTGTTTTCAAGCTTCTGTAGCAATAATCGTTGTGTGAACATTGGCGTGTAAAATTGTGTCATAGAATTGGTGTGTAAAATTGTGTCATAGAATTGGTGTGTAAAATTGTGTCATAGAATTGGTGTGTAAAATTGTGTCATAGAATTGGTGTGTAAAATTGTGTCATAGAATTGGCGTGTGAAATTGTGTCATAGAATTGGTGTGTGAAATTGTGTCATAGAATTGGTGTGTAAAATTGTGTCATAGAATTGGTGTGTAAAATTGTGTCATAGAATTGGTGTGTAAAATTGTGTCATAGAATTGGCGTGTGAAATTGTGTCATAGAATTGGCGTGTGAAATTGTGTCATAGAATTGGTGTGTGAAATTGTGTCATAGAATTGGTGTGTAAAATTGTGTCATAGAATTGGTGTGTAAAATTGTGTCATAGAATTGGTGTGTAAAATTGTGTCATAGAATTGGTGTGTAAAATTGTGTCATAGAATTGGTGTGTAAAATTGTGTCATAGAATTGGTGTGTAAAATTGTGTCATAGAATTGGTGTGTAAAATTGTGTCATAGAATTGGTGTGTAAAATTGTGTCATAGAATTGGTGTGTAAAATTGTGTCATAGAATTGGTGTGTAAAATTGTGTCATAGAATTGGTGTGTAAAATTGTGTCATAGAATTGGTGTGTAAAATTGTGTCATAGAATTGGTGTGTAAAATTGTGTCATAGAATTGGTGTGTAAAATTGTGTCATAGAATTGGTGTGTAAAATTGTGTCATAGAATTGGTGTGTAAAATTGTGTCATAGAATTGGTGTGTAAAATTGTGTCATAGAATTGGTGTGTAAAATTGTGTCATAGAATTGGTGTGTAAAATTGTGTCATAGAATTGGTGTGTAAAATTGTGTCATAGAATTGGTGTGTAAAATTGTGTCATAGAATTGGTGTGTAAAATTGTGTCATAGAATTGGTGTGTAAAATTGTGTCATAGAATTGGTGTGTAAAATTGTGTCATAGAATTGGTGTGTAAAATTGTGTCATAGAATTGGTGTGTAAAATTGTGTCATAGAATTGGTGTGTAAAATTGTGTCATAGAATTGGCGTGTAAAATTGTGTCATAGAATTGGTGTGTAAAATTGTGTCATAGAATTGGTGTGTAAAATTGTCGTAACTGGAAATGTATTTTTTATCCAAATACACAAAATCGATTTGTTTGATATGTGTATACAGGACCAGAATTTGTTTAGTGCCTATAAGATCGTAGTCGGACTCCAGTTATGCGAATCTGACTCCGGCAAGGGACTCCATGCAAAGGTCTGACAGCTGAAAAGGGGGGGGGGGGACTTCATTTAATCCCATAGTCCACCAGAAAATTTTTCCAAATTTTGTCGCGATAAATTTTGTTTCGGTTAATTTTCAGCTATGGATTTTTTGACTTCTCGACACAGGTCACCCCCCCCCCCTCACTCTCTCGTTATTTTTTAAAATAAAATACATTACATTAACGCATGCAATTGATTAACGCATTTAATGAAGTTATCACTTACAGTGTTAAAAGTCCGCAATCAAATAGTATATGTACATCGCCTCTTTAAAAAATAAACGAATTGTTTGTTAATCTTTTTTTTTTTTTTTTAAAGACTCGAGAACCCTCTGTTGGACATTTCCTATTTGGTACCATTTTAAAAAAAAAAGACTTCCATATAGAGATTATTTTTGTTGGCACCCGTCCGTCACAGTATGACGATGGTGTAGACATCGTATTTCGAAATCCAAAAGGCCTAGGCTTAGAGTTGTTCTGTTAGAGATTAAAAGGATGGGACTGGTTAACCTTATATGGCGACGCATCTACAAGAAGGAAACTCTGAATTCCAACCTTGTTTATGGAGTCCAGTAGGCGGATTATATTAATACGATGAAAAATTCCGACAGCTCCTGCGACGCCATTGGTGCAACGCTGTATCATTCACACATGCTGATGCTCCCTTGGGTTATCCAGCGGCGTCGAGAGAGGCGATTTGCTGTGTGGGAACCAGCTTACGATAACTATTTTTAAACATATAAACGGATGTCCTTTTTTTTTTGTGTGTGTGTTTTAAATTAACAAGAGTAAAGGGTGGGTGGTAACGATCCGCGAATATAGGGCTACGACTTCAATACTTCGACACGAAACAGCTTGCTGGTATCGATCCCGTTAAAGGTGATTTGAGTAACGCGATACTAGTTGTTTTCAGAGTTGTTGCCCTTGCATTTTTGGGGTATAATTTCTGATACGAGAGTAGTAACATAAATTAAAAGTCAAGAAATTATGTTTACATAATGTATGTGTTTAATCAATGAAAAACAAAGTATCTATTTGTAAAATCATTTATTTATAAAGAAATGCAATACATTGAAAGGTTTTTAAAATCTGTATTTATACTAGACAATATACCCGGCGCTGCCCGGGATTGCATTCTGAAAAAAAAAAATTAATAATTCTACAGCCTTTTAGCTAACATTGAAATTAAGGGCACTGGGGAAAGAACATCGCTAAAGTAAAAACTTACAATTTTAAATTGTATGCCAAATGAAAAAAAAAAAAAAAAAGAACAACACATTTATATTTATTTTAAAATCTGTATTTATACTAGACAATATACCCGGCGCTGCCCGGGATTGCATTCTAAAAAAAAAAAATTAATAATTCTACAGCCTTTTAGCTAACATTGAAATTAAGGGCACTGGGGAAAGAACATCGCTAAAGTAAAAACTTACAATTTTAAATTGTATGCCAAATGAAAAAAAAAAAAGAAAGGAACAACACATTTATATTTATGCAAACAATTCGTTCCCCAATGGGATCCCGTTCCGGTGGGATCCAGTTCCCGATGGGATCCCATTTCCGGTGGGATTCCTTACCAAGTGAAATCCCGTTCCCGGTGGGATTATGAAGGATGTTTTAATGTTACCAAATTTTGACAAGTTCCACCAATACACGTAGAAGCATTCACTGTTATCTAAGCCTTGAACTCTATTTATGTTCATAGCTTTGGCCATTTAAAAATAAAATTTATTTGGGTCTGTCTAGGAAGTTACAAAACTATCTTTAAATGTTATTTCATAATATTAGAGGGAATGCATTGAAAATTATCGAAACGTAAAACAAAACAAAAAATTATTAAGAATATTTATATAATCCTAAAACAGTGATCGAAGAAAATCGAACCTTTCATGAATAATCTAGCAATTTGATGAAACTTATAAAAAGGTAGTTATCCGAAATTGATAAAATTCTCATGAATGAATAGAAATACATGGAACTAAAATAAAATTTCTATAGGACATTTATTATAATCTTAAAATTCTCATAGAAAAATTTGAACCTTCTAGAGTAACCTACAAACTTAAAGCAGCTTTTAAACGATAAATTCAGTGAAAGTGGTGACGAGAAAATATAAAAAAAAGATATATCATTCTATAGAACTTTATCAACTTGTCCAAAACCTTTCAGATCCCAAATTCTTTTCCAGTGGAACAACAATAGAAATTTAAAAAAAAAATAAATAAAAAAATAATTCAAGATTTATTTAACACAACGTCCCAACAAGATCCACCCTCGAAACTTGTGAAAAATGACTCTGTTACGTAATCCATTTTGGAATACCAAAAAAAAAAAATCGACAAAAAAATGCCATAACTGAAACTATTTTTCATTTGAAATTTTCAGATGGGGGGCCAACCCCATAGGGTGACATTCCAGATATGCCTAAGAAAGGAGGACCTAAAGAAATAAATCAGATCCGTAATGAAGTTAAAATTAAAAGTTGTGCGATTAAAATCGGTTCGAAAATTGCGCGAAATCTAGCAGTTGAGAGTATCACTTTATAGAACATTTTAGATCAGTCACAGAACGAGTGTATATGATTACTTTTGAATCCACCGGTACTTTTCAGCGTATGACTACCAAGCCCTGCCTAGATCGAGAAGTATATATTACCAACTAAGTCTATATTATATATAGCTTATATTATGACTACCAAGCTTGGCCTAGTTCGAGAAGTATATATAACCAACTAAGTCTATATTATATATAGCTTATAATAAGACAAATAAATTGTTTTCCCCCAACCTCGAATCACGTGCATGTGTACTAAGTTTGGTCTAGATCCAACCAATCATGCATGAGTTTTTGTTGGTAATTTTATTTCTATAGCTTATCTAAGGGGAACAAGTGAATCAAGGGCCCCCGCCCCCTAATGGAATGGTCTGTTAGTACTAAACCCTGCCGTATTGTGTTTCTGGAGCATGGTGGATATTAGGGCCAAGTTTAGTCAAGATCTTCTTCTCTTCTTCTTCTATATCTTAAGGGCCCACGATCAATTTATTGATCATTTTGGCTCCTATCTATCGATCTATTGATCTATCGATCAGTGTAGAAACGTGATAGGAACAAACAAACAAATGTTAAACTGTATATATATAAATAAATAAGATTAAAATAACAAATCTCAAAATAGTTTACACTCTTTTCTTTACACTATCAATTCCTTTATCACGCTGTACTACCAGCTTGGTATACATGTATCTGTTTACAGGAGCATCACAATATTGGCACAAAAATGATAGGTCAGTACCACAGTCACTACAACAGTCAATGTCACAGTCAGTACCACAGTCAATGCCACAGTCAATGCCACAGTCAGTACCACAGTCAATACCACAGTCAGTACCACATATAATACCAAAGTCAATACCACAGTCAATACCACAGTCCATACCACAGTCAATACCAAAGTCAATACCACAGTCCATACCACAGTCAGTACCACAGTCAGTACCACAGTCAGTACCACAGTCAGTACCACAGTCAGTACCACAGATAATACCACAGTCAGTACCACAGTCAATACCACAGTCAGTACCACAGATAATACCACAGCCAGTACCACAGATAATACCACAGTCAGTACCACAGTCAATACCACAGTTAGTACCACAGATAATACCACAGATAATACCAAACACACACACTTAAAATAAGACGTAAAATTGGAAGTTAAAAAAAAAAAGATTTCCTTGATGATTGAGAACATGCAAAGATGAATGAGACAGATAAAAGTGCCCCAAAAAAAAACAACAAAAACGAGATCATTGGAAATATACATGACGTGAGGTGTTGTTTATCTATCATACACCTATGTCACCATGAGTGTTTATTTCGACAACTTCTACCATTCCCCAACAACAGCTTTCATGGGTATTAACGTAAAAGATAAACCGGTCACCATCTTGTAACTGAAATTTCTTATAACATTCAAATCAGTCATAAAAATCATTATCGGTTTAAAAAAAACAAAAAAACATATGACCGAGTTTTGAAAATATGAAAAAGTCCCGAAAAATAAGAAAGGGATTCGAAATATTGAATAGATCGAAAATTTAAACAAAAATTTATTTAAGAATTTTTAAAAAATATATGATGGAAACAGTTACATAGGACATACATCCAAAGATGTGTCCGGGACAGGGGGCAGTGCTTTTGCCTGCCCCACACTTAGCCCCGACACAGATCTTACACTTATGAAATCAATATGAAGTTCCTTAACATATCACTACTAGTTCTATGGACAATTAAAATTATTTAAGACATCAGCATGGCACTTATATAAAGCAGCTCAAATTTTAACCCGCTAATTTCTACTAGACTGCCACACAATGGGCTGAACTCAAGTTGACCAGCTAGACTGCTCATATAATGAGCTGACACAACATTGAACTCAAGTTGACCAGCTCGACTGCTCACACAATGAGCTGGCACAGCAATGAACTTAAGTTGACCAGCTCGACTGCTCACACAATGAGCTGGCACAGCAATGAACTTAATTTGACCAGCTTGACTGCTCACACAATGAGCTGGCACAGCAATGAACTTAATTTGACCAGCTCGACTGCTCACACAATGAGCTGACACAGCATTGAACTCAAGTTGACCAGCTCGACTGCTCACACAATGAGCTGGCACAGCAATGAACTTAAGTTGACCAGCTCGACTGCTCACACAATGAGCTGACACAGCATTGAACTCAAGTTGACCAGCTCGACTGCTCACACAATGAGCTGGCACAGCAATGAACTTAATTTGACCAGCTTGACTGCTCACACAATGAGCTGGCACAGCAATGAACTTAATTTGACCAGCTTGACTGCTCACACAATGAGCTGACACAGCATTGAACTCATGTTGACCAGCTCGACTGCTCACACAATGAGCTGGCACAGCAATGAACTTAATTTGACCAGCTTGACTGCTCACACAATGAGCTGGCACAGTAATAAACTCAAGTTGACCAGCTGGACTGCTCACACAATGAGCTGACACAACAATGAATGTTACCTTCAAGATAGCATGGAATAAAATGCTGAAGATGTGTATATCAAATGAAAAAAAAATAGAAACAATTATTATGAGATTTAAAAAAAAAAAAAAAAAAAAAAAAAAAAAAAAAAAAAAAAAAAAAAAAAAAAAAAATACAAAAAAAAAAAAAAAAAAAAAAAAAAGATAAAAAGATGAAAAAAAAAAAAAAAAAAAAAAAAAAAAATAATAAAGAAATTAAAAAAAAAAAAAAAAAACAAAAAAAAAAAACAAAAAAAAACAATGTTAGTAGGTTTTCTCACAATGAATAAAATATGGAACCGGTAGTAAGTTTGGTTTTTTCCGTCAGGGTCTCCCATTCACACGGGTTTCAAATTTGAACAAATCTATTATATGTTCAAATATTTCAAATAAATTAATAACAAGATTTGGTACGTTGACTCCGTAAAGTAGAAACCAAATCCATAATTTTACGTAGCTGCAGGTGTCTTTTTTTTTTCTTTTTGGTTTTAACATGTTAAACCCAGTCACCTCCCTTCCGTTCTTCTGTACTTTTTGCCAGGGACTCGCACCCACTCTTATTCTTTCCCCTCCTATTAATGTAAGATACATGTATAAATAAATGTATTCTGTATGATCATTATTAAAGATTAAATTATATATGAATATATTTTTTTATTTACACAAATTATTCGTGTCTGATTAATCTACTTGAAAGCTTTATCGCATTCCAATACTATTATAATTGTTTAAGCAAATATTTCGATCAAACGTTAAAGACATAATAATATTTAACTACATTCCAATACGGGTTTGTTGTAAGATATTGCGAAAGACGTGCATAAAATTATCATAGAAATGTGCAATGAAATCTTGAGCTGAAATACTGTCGACGATAATTGAGACTGAAAACTGTAAGATACATTGATGAAAAAACAAGGGCAGTTAATCTGAAAAGTAATGTCAGCGGCGTGATTCAAATTATGTAATTTATCGTTTCGCTGCCCTGATCACTGTTTGAGTCAGCGGCTCTCAACCTGTAGGAACTGTATTAAAGGGTCACGGCATTAGGAAGGTTGCGAACCGCTAGTTTAAGAATTGAAAAAAAAAAAAAAGATCTACCAAAACGTATTTAAAAAATAAAGTATTTCACACTTTTAATTCTTAAATAATAATTATAATTTAATAATAATTTAATAATAATTTAATAATAATTTAACCACCGTTTCGTCAAACTCAAAATAAAAATAATAAAAAAAAATAGATAACAGTTGGCCGAACGGCTTCCAATCGGCCGAACTGCTTCCAATCGGCCGAACGGCTTGCAATCGGCCGAACGGCTTCCAATCGGCCGAACGGCTTCCAATCGGCCGAACGGCTTCCAATCGGCCGAATCCCCAATACTTATTAAAAGCTATAAAAATCGGTGGAAAGATTGTGGCGTTAATATCTATTGTGAGAATACTGGAAGCCCCTCTCCCCTCCCCCACCCCAACGTTCCTTTCTTTGAGAATCATATATCAAATTCATTGGTATTAAAGTGTCCGCGTCAGACAAAGTCAGCACAATTTAAATCTGTGATTTAAAAAAAAAGAAAGATAAATCAATATTTTGTTAAAACAGAACCATGGAAATCCTTTCTTTGACAGACATGCCTGATATTTGTCTATAAACACATTACATTATGTCTCAATCAAATATTCGCATACCATGGGTGTTCTCAAACTGCACACCACTGGAGTCATTCCACTATGTAAGACTTAAGCGATTTAAAAAAGAAAACAAGAATCACAAAAAAGTATCCATCTTAATAAGATAATTTATTTATTAATATTTGTTGGTTAAAATCGAAATGCAACTTTCTATATCTTTTTGGATTCAGCAACCTCTTTTTTTTTTTTTTTGGGGGGGGGGTGGTTTATTCCGCAACTGTTTAGCGTTCAACATACCCAACCCCTTGCACGGTTTGGGGGGGGGGGGGGTAAAACCAACCTGTTTCCCCTTTCAATCCTTGAGTGCACATTTTGAGAAACGTTTTCCTCCACAAGACAAACATAAGGCCTATTGAGATAATGAAAGCTTATGTTACAGCTAGGTGGACGCCAAAGCCTGACAAAAGTTCAGCCCACCGGCATGTTGACACAAAGATAGCTGTGTATTTGTTCGTGTATGCCGTAGAAGTTTCAGCAACGCTGTTACGGTACAGTAAACCTGTCCTAGCATCTTTTGAGAAAACAGGTTTCTCCGGGTTACGCATTTCAGGAAAGTAATTCCTTACAGGAATAGAATTGGGATGGGGTATACAAAAACTCAAAAGTTGTTGGTTGTAAAAAAAAATATTTTTTTTAAAATCTGAAAAAACTTGTTGGGTTAGTGAAAATACACCTACTTTATTTAACACCATTCATCCGCTGCATTCAAATATGTTAAGAGTAATGAAATGTAAAGTCCACTGGGGCGGAACCAGTTATTGCAAAACATGGCACAGCAAAGACGGAAATAAAGGTTTTGGTGGCCTGTCAAGACAAGGTTTTGCTTGTACAGTTGGTTATTCGGGAAGATTACAGACTGGTTAAGTAGGTTCCGATGAAACTAAAGCAATCGGGTAAAAAAAAACAATTTGTGTTTCGTGCTGGAGAGGTAGTCACTAGCGTGCAACGGTAGATTGTAGAGGTTGAATGTGGGAGAGCGGAAAAGAGAGAAGTAGAGAGAGAGGGGAAGAAATGAAGATAGAGAGAGAGGGAAGGGGAGTGAGGGAGAGAGACGGGAGGTAGGGAGGGAAACAGAGAGGAAGAGAGAATGAAAGGGGTTGAAAAGGAGGGCGAGAGACAGAGTAAGAAAGTTTTAAGTGGGGAACAGAGAAAGAAAGAATGCAATTATAAAATAAGTAAAAAAAAAATTGGGAAAGTTTCCATGAAGACAATTTGATAAAGGAATATCTTCCTCTATGTAAGTGTCAGGCCACAAATATCAGTCCCCATTTTCAAGACTATGTGAACTTTCTTCTTTGCCTTAGGATTCGATAAAAATACGTGCACTGAATGTTACGATAAAGGGTATGCAATAGAAAAATACGTGCCTTTTGAATTTTACAATAAAAGGTATAAAATAGAAAAATACGTGCCTTTTGAATTTTACAATACAAGGTATGAAATAGAAAAATACGCGCCTTTTGAATTTTACAATCAAAGGTATGAAATAGAAAAATACGTGCCTTTTGAATTTTACAATAAAAGGTATGACATAGAAAAATACGTGCCTTTTGAATTTTACAATAAAATGTATGAAATAACATAAAAATACATGCATTTTGAATGTTACAATAAATGGTATATAATAAAAAAAAACAAAGAGCAGTAACTTTAAAAAAAATGTTCTTGGCATATTTATAAATATATTATATACATAAATTTCAGTGGCGTAGAATAATTTATAACTTTGTTTTTCTTCTAAATAATCAACGGGACACAACATACAAAGATAATGTACAATTTGATTTCTGGGCAATTTTTCAGACACTTGCACTTTCCGTCACGTGATTTTACTGCTGGGGTGCTGCCTGGAAGATCACTCTCTTTTTGAGGCTGCCCCTCTGGGGTCTGTTCATGTACACCTCTTCAATCGACTTACTGACCGTTGTCCGGCTTGTACTGGCGGACCTGTCGCTTGACCTGGGCTGCATATGACCTGTCATAACGGCAGATAGTTTATTTTTGTCAAATAGAAACCACATAAGAATATATATATAAGATC